ACATTCTTGTAGTCTGAAAAAGGGGACACTAAAAACTCAAAAAGCTGGTCCAACAAACTCTTGAAATGAAAAAGTGGACAGCTGGTATTGAGCTGGTACTACAAACTTTTCTATTGAATAAAAAGGACATTTCAATTTATATAGTCTCTAAAAGCAAACACTACTGAAAAGCAGACACTGCAAATGGGCACCGCGAAGTTTTGTAATCACTACAAAATTCTAATAGACAATTTTCAACTGATGTTGCTGATTTAAAAATTTAGGAGGTAGAATGCATAGAAATCTGGTAATAGCTAATATTTGTGTAATAATGTCGGTGTATTTTTTTTCATCTAGAATCCGTGTCGTCTGCTCGTCAATCTTAGTTAAACACAAGTGGCAGATCTTTGTGCTTTGGCCTTCCTATTGTCGTTGTTCTTTCTGTTTGTATCTTACAGACCACTCAAGTCTTCCTTAATAGATTATGTTGTTCAAGGCCACCGATTCGGCATCATTGAAGGTTATGGCTGCCGCCCAACCACATACTTTTCGATCGCCGCCATCTTCATTGTCTGGCTCCCCCCTTTGATCCTCTCAATTGGCGCAATCGCCTTCGCCGGCCTTGTCCTGAGGCCCTTCATCCAATGCCGCATTTCATTTGCAACCCACCTTGCCACACACTCCGCCCTCGCAACCTCTCGTTACCTCCGTCTGATGCTCATGTCCATTCTTCAGATAGTCATATGCCATCTGGTTCACTGTTGTGTCTATTCCTATCTGCCCCTGGATGAACTGGGCTGACGTACACTCTAATTTCTCCCGCATTGACCTTTACCCCGCCCTGTTTCACGCCCCCTGAAGCAATGAATGAATACAAGAAGTGTACCACCATTCTCGACACCAATGTCACAGTGCCCACGTAACACTCTGTGACACTGACATGGCATCTGTCTTCAACCCACCACCACCCCACACCGTTCACACCAATTCACACCAACACACCGCCCCACCATCGGCAACATGCTACGTCACGCAACCCCCACCACTCCAATGAACGACGGCCGCCCTACCGACGAGTTTAACCGCTCAACAAACGAATGCCACTGCCAAACAACTTGACACCCACACGCAACAAACAACGACCAGCGCCCAACAAACAACGACCAGCGCCCAACAACTCGACACCCACAGGCAACCAACGAAGCACCCAACAAACGACCATGACCGCCCAACAACCGACCACGACCGACCAACAACGACGATAACCACAAGGAGCAAGCCGGGCCACGTCGCAGTCAGCGACATGGCAACTATGCATCATAGACGGACAACAACGACGACGATTGCATCATCGTCACGACACGGTAAGCCCCCTCCCCCTTTATTACATATCTCACACCACAATTCCACCATCCAGCCCTTGACGAATACCACACCCAACGTCACCATGCCGAGGAGGAGGAGGAGGGCGGACAAACGACGACGACAAGCGTGTACAAACGACGAGACGACGAGGGCGTACAAACGACGGGCAGTGACGATGAAGATACGGTGAGCGCCCACCACCCACACCCGACGACGAGCCTCAATATATAACCCTCAGTGCCCACCACCCTCACCCACTATCTCTCACTGCCCACCACCCCCTCTACCTCACTGCCCACCACCCC